CCAGAAGGCTGGCGGTTCAAACCCACCAGCCACTCCTCGGAAGGAAGATTGGGTGATCTACTTCCATAGTGATACCACCTCAGAAACCCAAGAAGGGGTCGCTATGAGTTGGAATCGACTCCACGGCAGCTAGTTTGGTTTGGGTTTGGTCAGTCTGTTACGACGCGCTCGTCCCAACATTACTTCTCATTTTCTTTCCACTGAATCGGTCCTCCTCTCCCCGCACCCATCTCCAAACCCTTCCATTACGGCCTCTGGAACTGCCATCACACGGTTGACAACCAGGTCCTCTCCTCGGTTCCTTTCCCCAACAGTTCCCCTGCTTCATATCCTAACTCAGTGCCTGGCCGGCCCGAAGGATACCACTTCTCCTGCTGCTTCTTGTTAGGTGACAAGTCCACTCTGAGTCCTGGCCACTTTATGTGAAACAACGCAACGTTGTCTGGCCGTGCGTCATCTTCCTGATATATTTGAGTCCATTGCTGTAGCTAGTAGCCCTCTGCCTTAGCAAATGTGACACCCTTTACTAGTGTCAATCCATCACACTGAGGTGGTCGTTGTTATGTTAAGTCCGTGGAGTCCGTTCTAATGCACAGCCACCCTGAGAACAGAACGAAACACTTCCCGGTCCCGTGCCAGCCTCACAAACTTTGTTCTGCATGAGCCCAAATGGCAGCCACTGGGTCAGTCCATCTTGTTGAGGGCCTTCCCCTTTATTGTGGACCCTCCCCTTACCAAGCATGATATCCTTCTCTGGGGACTGGCCCCTTCTGACAACATGACCAAAGTAAGAGAGATGAAGTCTGGCCATTCTTGCTTCTAAGGAGCATTCCAGCTGTACTTCTTCCAAGACACATCTGTTCTTCTGGCAGTCCGTGGTATTTTCAGGATTCTTCGCCAACAACACAACTCAAATGCATCACTCCTTCCTCATCTTCCTTATTGTCCAGCTTTCATATGGAAATTAATTCCTTTGAGATTTCTCTAATTTTTGCTGATTCTCTACCAACCATGGGAGCTCTGGTGGACGTAGTGCCTAAGGCATTTGACTCCTAACCAGGAGGCTGGAGGTTCAAAGCCACCAGCCACTCTGCAGAAGGAAGGTTGGGCAGTCTACTTCCATAGTGATACCGCCTCGGAAACCCAAGGAGGGGTCGCTATGAGTCAGATCTGATTCGATGGCAGTGATTTTTTTTTCTTATCAACCACAATGTCCTTTTCTAGTGACTGGTATTTCATGATGAGATGGTCCAAGTAAGCCAACCAAAGTCACCATCCTCACTTCCAAAGTCCCCCTGAAATCCACCACTATCAAGTTGATTCCAATTCATAGTGACTCTATAGGACAGAACAACTGCCCCATAGGGTTTCCAAGGCTGTAAATCTTTACAGAAGCAGACTTCTTCATCTTTCTCCATGGAGAGGCTGGTGGGGTTTGAACCACCGACCTTTTGGTTAGCAGCTGAATGCTTTAAACCACTGCTTCTGCAGCCCTCTCAAGTGCAGGCCTCTTGTTATCTCACACTCCACATGCCTGCTTCCACACTGGGGCTCAGGAGCTAATGTCTCTAGTTATCAACATTCTTTTGGGTACAAGAAGCTGAAATCAGCTCAAACTAATTCAAGGACAAAATTAATAAATAAAACAATATTTGACTACAAACCAGCAATACAAACAAAAACCTCAAAATGGTTCATGTCAAAGTCCAATAATTAAGTTGGGGTTTAGGTATGGCTTGATCCAGGCACCCAAGTGCTGGCCTCAGAGCTCTTTCTCAATCTTTCCTTTCTGCTTTTTTCTGTTTTGACCTTCATCTCAAGAAGCTTCTCTTCTCTTGGCAGCAGGGTGACCATGATCAGCTTCCGGCTTACATCCACCAGCCTGGCAACTCCAGCAAAAAAAAAAAAAAAAAGTGAATCTGTTTACTGATAGGTGTAACCAATGGGTCAGTTTGCTCTCAGTGGAGTAAGCTAGGGCACACATCTTCCCTGAACCAATCCCTGTGACCAGAGAGACAAAATAAGCTGATTGGCTAGTCTGGGCCCTATCCTCATCCCTGGAGCTCTGGGGCAGGGCGGGATCTGGCCAGCCCCATTCAAATTAAATAGGCTGAGGAGAGAAGTGGTCCCTCAAAAGAAAACAGCCAGATATTGGGGCAGCAAAACCCACAGACTTGTACCATGTATGCTTCTCTCTGCCCGATGCCGGTGATTAGCACTGAACTCACCCTCCCTCACCCCCACTTCCCCATCCCCATTCCCATTCTCTATTCCTGATCTGATTGTAATCTTTCACCACTCCTTGGTGAGCGTGTTTTTTTTCTTTTTAAAAAAAGAGTTACCATCAAATCGATTTGGACTCATAGAGACCCCATGTGTGTTAGAGTCGAACCGGGTTCCACTGGGTTTTCAATGGCTGGCTTTTCAAAATAGATTGCCAGGCTTTTATTCCGTGGTGCCTCTGAGTGGATTGCAGCTGCCAACCAAGGACTTTAACTCTGCGTACCACGCGGGGCTCTGGTGACCTTGTGCTCCGCCCTTTCTACTTGCCTGGTAGAAAGGTGACATTTCTCCACTCGTTTCAAAAGAGGGTGTGAGATTGGGTCTGACATATTTACTTGACAGAAGCTTGATCCTGAAAGGGGAGTTAGACAAAGGGGTCAGGGTGGAGCTAGGGGGATGAAGAAGGTGGGGCTGGGGCCCAGAGGGAGCCAGACAGGAATTGGGGCGAGGTAGGGCTGGAGGGAGGGGCTGGGCACTCAGGCAGAAGGGTGAGATACCCAGGGGAAGGAGTGTACTTACGGGGTGGTGTTAGCAGCTCGGGGGGACGGAGAGGGAATATGGGGTCCGATGGAAGAGGGAACTGAGGAGGCAGAAGTGTGCAACAGGGGCGACTGGAGAGTGGGGCTGGAGGTTGAAGGGGCTCAACTGGAAGGAGGAAGTGGAGAAGTAAAACGGGGGTGGGGAGGGCTTGGCTGTCATAGGTGGGGGGCCCGGGTGTAAGGAAGAGAGTGAATTGGCGCTCTCAGAAGTGTTGGATCTTTGCAGTTGAAGCTGGGCCTGAAGGCCTGGCCCGTCGACCCCAGCGGGCGACGCTACTACTGCAGTTTGCAGCGAGGGGCGTGGCTGGGGGTGTGTGCGCCTTACGTTGCAACCCCCCTTTACTCACACACCCCTCTCAAGCGTAGCAATCTTCGCCCCTGATCCCGCCTCGTACTCGAGAGTGACGGAAATGCCGTCCAGTGAGCGCCGCGGGCCGGGTGCGGCTCAGCCAATTACGCCGCGGGGGGCGGAGCTGGGGAGGGGGCTCGCAGGGCCAGGGGAGGGGGCCCGGGGCCTCGAAGGGCTCCGCAGCGGCGACTGGCGAGCCATGGCGCTGGGGCTGCAGCGCGCAAGGTACCAGGGTTCTGGGCCAGGGGTGATGGGAATTGGAAGGCTGTCCTGCCAGGGTCCCCTGAGCCAGGTGGGGGGTGCACGGGTGCAAGCCGAGGACGCGCGGGGCCCGGGGCTGAAACCACATAACCCCTCCGCCCGCCCGCCCTCCTCCCTGGGGGACCTGCCGGGAGTGGGACATTCCCCCAAGCCCCAGGCTGCCCCGCCCCTCCCTCCAGGGGCAGCTTCGGGGTGGTTATCCCCGATTCCTGCAGCCGGTACGCTTGCTTCCCCGCCAGGTTGGTGGTGAAACTCAAGGTCCCCACGGAAGTGGGACCAGTTGAATTTGAGCCGTCACTTGGCCTCTGAGGAAGGCATTCTGTCTCCAAGTGTTGTCTCCTCTGGCCTCGGAACCCCTAAAATTGGCATTGTTCTTCACCACCAGCCCCCTGGGATCCTATGAGATATGGGGCCCCCCAAATCAGTCTTCCCAGGTGTAGGGAATACCTGGGAATCGGGATTGGGCTGCTGAGGTCAAGAGAAGAGGGGTCCCCTTTGATCTAACCCTCTCTGATATAGTCCCCCAAATCTTGGCTTCCCCTAGAAGTGATCAGAGGGGTCCCCTTTCAGGAACTGCCTAGGACCCTTTTCAGGGGGCCCTTCTGTCCCCATTTGAAAAATAGGATCATCCCCTTTAATAACAGGGAGCCATTGACCCATTTACCAAAGTCTAGTCCCTTATCTTACCCTCTCCCAACCCTCACCCAGACTATTTCTGAAGCATGAATTGAAGGTACAGAGGAGGCCTACCCAAGTCTTATATTGGGGAGAACCCACGGGCTGTGCGTGTGTGCGTGTGTGTGTGCGCGCGCGCACGCGCGCGAGTTCAGTGCGAGCCCCTGAGAACGGTCATCAGAGCGCCCCCTGCCGAAAGGCGCTGGCGGAGGGGCACTTGTATATTCACTTGCAGCTGTTATGTGCCGTCGAGTCAGACCCGACTCATAGCGACCCTTCCTTGGGTTTCCGAGGCAGTATCACTACGGAAGTAGATTGCCCCATCTTCTAGCAGGTACTCATCTGCTAGGGCACCCCGTGCCCTGGGTCTAGTCCCACGGAGGCCCCATCTACCTGCTTTCTCGGGGGAACTTGGAACATGCACCAGGCCCTTGGTTCTCCCTGTCCAATCTGAGGCGCCCAGCAAGCCTCACCCCTTTCTGTCCTCTCTGGCTTCACAGGGCTGACTGGATCCGTCTACACCCCCATGTTCCTCACCCCTCAAAGTCTCCCCCCATCCTATTCTATTCTGGTCCCTGGCTCTGGGCCCACCAGGGAACTCCATCCCACCCCTTCTGGGCCAGCAGCGGCCCCGCCCCTCCCGGCGCCCCCTCCTGGCCTGGGTGGGGCCCCTCTTAGCTGAGCTGGGGTGCGCCCCCCCTCCCCAGCCAAGGCCAGCCCTTTCCTGTCGGGTCATCCCACCGCCACCACGCACCACCCACTCATAACTCGCACCCGGATCCAGGCCGCATCCCATCCCCTCCTGCGCCCCCAGGATGGCACCTCTGCCAAAGAGGGTCTGGGAGATGGTGAGTGGACCCCCACACCCCTTCCTTCTTGCCCATGGCTTGGGCTTGCTACCACCCCACCCCAGGCAGGGGTGTTCTTGGGGTGCCCACCTGGGGTAGAGAAGGTTCTGGAAGAGATAGGGTTTTGAGGACGGCACCCCACTGGATTCCCCCGTCCATAGTAATGAGCAGAGTCAGGGTCACAGAGATATCCCACCTTGGTCCCTTCTCGAACCTGCCCATGGCTTCTCAGGCCACCTCCGGGCAGTACCAAGAGGGCTCCCTGCCCAGATACGTAAGCTCCCCAAAATCCCTTATACTTTTTCAAGACCCTAATACCCAGCTGTGTGTAGAAGAGAAGGCCAGGATATGGGGTGGGGTCTCCCAACTTTCTCCACGCCTTTGGTCAAAGGTGGCGAGTTCCTCAGGGCAGGGAAGATGTGGGTTTCTCCCCCTTCTGGCCAGGGGGTGCCAGGCCCCAGCCCCCATTCCCAAGCCTCAGCCTGGGGCCTCTAGGCCCGGGACCCGCCCCTGTTCTCGGCTGGAACACGGAGGAAGGGTGGCAGGGTTCCAGCTGCACGTCCCAAGCTGGGCAGCGTGCCAGGGGGCTGGACCAGGCCTGGGCTTGGGGCCAGCAGGGGAGACCGGCCAGCTGGGGAGATTCAGAGGCAGCAGGGGTGGGGCAGGGGAAGGGCCTGGAGCCACTGGGCAAAGGGGGGCCAGGGAAGTGGGCCCCTTGAGTGGGCATGCCCACCAAGGCATGACCTTTAAGAACCCAAGAGCCTCAGTCAGGGTTCAAATCCCAGCTCACCTATCTGCTGGTTTGGGTGTCCTGTGCCAGGGACCACCTCTCTGAGGCTCAGTTTCCGATTCTGGCAAATGGGGGTCTGCCCCCTCCCTGCCCTGCACAGGATCAAGATGGGGAACCAGTGAGGTAACAGGTATCAGGGTGGGACACCCAATAGGTTCACAAGTCAGAGTTCAGAGCGGAGGCAGAGGGAACTGGTTTGAATTCTGGTCTGCTACTTAGGAGCTGTGTGGCTTCAGGCAAGACATGTCACCTCTGTGGGATGATTGGCTTGTCAGGAAAATGGGGACAGTAATAGCAGGTACATGGTGGGTAAGGCGTGCTGCTGGTAACCCCTACTCGGAACCTCTGTAAAAGGAAAATTATGTTTTCTGCTCTGTGCAATTGTTAGGAGCTCTGGTGTGATGGGTAAAACATTTGCTTGTTAACCAGAAGGTCAGCAGTTCAAACTCACCACCTGCTCCATGGGAGAAAGAGGCAACAATCTACTTCCATAAAGATTTACAGTCTTGGAAACCCCATGGCAGTCACTATGAGTTGGAATCAACTCGCTGGCAATGGGTTTGGTTTGAGGTGGTAGGGTTGTTGGAAGGATTTAATGGGGTCTCAGGTGGTGCAAATGGTTTCCATTTTACTGTTAACCTAAAGGTTGGCAGTTCAAACCTACCTAGTGGTACCACAGAAGAAAATCTGCTTTTGTTGAGAAAACCCTCAGGAGTGGTTCTAGTCTGTATAGCACATGGGGTCGCCATGAATCAGAATCATTATTCAACACACTGAAGCTACTACTTCTGCTACTATCACTATTATTAAGGAGCTCTGGTGGCACAGTGCCTAAGGCATGTGACTGCTAACCAGAAGGTTGGTGGTTCAAACTTCCCAGCCACTCTGCAGAAGGAGGACTGGGCAATCAACTTCTGTAAAGGTTTACTGCCTCAGCAACCCAATGGGGGTCTCTATGAGTTGGAATCGACTCAATGGCGGAGGGTTTTTTTTTTTGGTTTTATCACTGTCATTGATAATGTGTAATATCCACTGAAGGTACATGTTGATAAGCCTTGACATATTTGTGTACTCTATGCCACGTGTTCCCACCAAAGCCCATGTGTTACCCCAGTGTTCAGGGCTCAAGAGTCTCCCAAGCTTGGGTCTTCCAACCCTGACGGGGACAAAAGAGCCATCATCATCATGTTTAGCCTTTATATGTTGTTGTTAATGTCCGTTGCTATGGAGTCAGGTCAGACTCACGGCAGCCTTCTGTTCAACGGAACGAATCATTGTCCAGCCATGTGCCGTCCTCACGGTTGTTGGTCTGCATGAGCCCCTTAGTGCGGCCACAGTGTATCTCGAGAGCCTTTCAGCTTAGGGGCCCCCTCTTCCTACACAGGACAACATCCTGCCAACCACAGGGCTTTTGGTGGCTAATTTCTGGAAGCGGATCACCAGACCTTTCTTCCTAGTCAGTTTTAGTCTGGATGCTCTGCTGGAACGTGTCCGCCGTGGGTGATCCCGCTGGTACTTGAAATACGGGTGGCAGAGTTTCCACACCAGAGCCACGTACCAGCAGCCACAGTATGACAAACTGACACCAACCAATCGCCAGGCTCTGTTCGGAGCCTCTGACATCTTTTAACTCATTCGATCTTCAGAACTGCCAGTGTTAATGCCCAGAAAGGCCGTGCGACTGGCCCAGAATCACACTTATAGGTGGTGGAGTCGAGATTGGAACCCAGGCCTGAACCAGAGGAATTAGCCCCCACGTGGCTCAGACAAAGGAGCCCTGGTAGTGCAGTGGTTAAAGCGCCCGGCTGCAAACTGAAAGGTCAGGGGTTCAAACCCATCAGCTGCTCCGTGGGAGAAAGATGTGGCAGTCTGCTTCTGTAAAGATCACAGCCTTGGAAACCCTGTGGGCTAGTTCCACGCTGTCCTATAGGGTCACGATGAGTCAGAATCGACTCAACAGCAGTGGGTTAGGTTGGATTTGGAGTTTTGGTGCAAACAGTTAGCATTCAGCTACTAAGCCAAAGGTTACTGGTTCGAATCCACCCTGAGGCGCCTCAGAAGAAAAACCTGGCAATCTGCTTCTGAGGGTCACAAGCTACGGAGAACCGCATGGAGCACAGTTCCACTCTGACGCACACAGAGTCGCCAGGCGTCGGGAATGACGAGGGCAGCTGGCTTGGATTGGCATATTTAACCAAGGAAAGGCCCGGCTTCTGGGAAGGGAGTAAGAGGCCCCACTTCCTCTGCACAGAACATTCCTGAGAATCGGTTTGAGAGCTGGAAGGAGGGTCCCACTGCAGCCCCTAGCTGGCTCCTTCTATAGAGGGATGAGCTCTGCCCCAGAGAGATTACAGAGCCCAGCTGCCTGGGAGGTGGGGGGGTGGGGGTGGGGGTGGCCCCACCTCCATTCCTGTTCCCACTCCCTGTTCCCTCTGTTGGGGCCCCCAGAGTGGCAAGGCCCGCCCACCCCCACCCTCTGGGCAGGAAGACAAACACAGCGGCTAGAAGAGAACAGGACGAAATGTCCTCTTGGGCGGGCAGGGCAGGACTGGAGGCCCCTGACCCCCTCCAGCCCGGAGGGAGGGGAATGGGGCCGTCCTGAGACTTGCTGCCTCCGCCTCCCCCGCCCAGCCTGCCCCCTTCTGTGTCACCACACACACACACACACACATACACACACACACACGCTGTTGCACTAAGGTTTTTGCTTCCACAGCCAGACAGGAGAATCCCCTTCCCACTTCTCCTCGTGCCTGGAGGTGGGGCTGCAGGTCTCCAGCCTGGGGGTGGGGCCGATCCCACCCCCAGAAATGGCATCTGACTCGCCTATGGAGCTCCAGGCTCCTAGTTCTTCTTTCCTGGGGTGGGTCACAAGGGGAGGATTCAAGAAAAAGGAAGGCTTTGTGCAGCCTCACTGTCTGGGTTCAAATCCCAGCTCTGCCAGTTACTGGCTCTGCGACTTCTTGGGCAAAGCCTCAGTTTCCCCTTTGTAACACCAAAACCAAAACCAAACTCACTGCCTTTGAGTCAGTTGCAACTCATAGCGACCCTCGTTGGGTTTCCAAGGCGGTCAATCTTTATGGAAGTAGATTGCCCCATCTTCCTTCCGTGGAACAGCTGGTAGATTTGAACCACCAATCTTTTGGTTAGCAGTCAAATGCCTTAGGCACTGCACCATCAGAGCTCCTTCCTTTATAACACAGAAGTTTAAAATGCCTCCTTTATTGGGCACTTCTCAGCATGAGGGAGCACACCCAGGCAGCCAGTACCAGCCACATACATGTTTAGTAAATTACATTGTTAATTGCTGTGCGGTAGGTTCTCACTCAGGTTGACCTCGCAATGAAAGAAACATTGTCCAGCCCTGCACTGTGTTCATGGTCATTAGTGTGTCTTTCTCTATCAACTGAGCCCTTGTGATGACACATCCAAAGTCAGTCAGTCAAGGTCTGGGATAATATTCTGTGATCCACAGGGAAGGTTGGACAATCTGCTTCCGTAGTGATACCGCCTGAGAAACCCAAGGAGGGGTCTCTACAAGTTGGATCCGACTCAACGGCAGTGGGAGTTTAATTTCCAGAAATAGATTGCCAGGCTTTTCCTCCTAGTCTGTCTTAGTCTGCAAGCGCTCAGCTGAAACCTATCCACCATGGATGATTCTGCTGGTGTCTGAAATACCAATGACATAACTTCAAGCTTCGTAGCAACATGCAGGCCACCACAGTACAACTGACAGATGGATCAAACCAAAAACCAAACTCACTGCCGTCGAGTCAAACCCAACTTATAGCGACTCCTCCTTGGGTTTCCAAGGCGATATCACTATGGAAGTAGATTACCCAACCTTCTTCTGAGGAGTGGCTGGTGGGTTTGAGACAGACGGATGGTGGTAGGAAATTAGAGCTGTTGATTAATGGCTTTAACAGTATTACACAGATCCCAAAAAAACAAACCCACTGCTACCAAGTCGATTCCAACTCATAGTGACCCCTCCTTCGGTTTCCAAGGCGGTATCTCTACAGAAGTAGATTGCCCAGTCTTCCTTCCAAGGAGTGGCTGGTGGGTTTGAACCGCCAGCCTTCTGGTTAGCAGTCACTTGTATTAGGCACTACATCAAGTATAGTATATATAAGGAGCTCTGGTGGCGTAATGTGTAAGGCCTTTGACCCGTTGAGTCAACCTGTTGGGTCCCCAAGGCTGTAAATCCTTACAGAAGCAGACTACCTTATCTTTTTTCCACAGAAAAGCTGGTGGGTTCGAACCACCAAAAACTGCCAGGGAGCAGTTCTATTCTGTAACATGGGTCACTATGAGTCAAAATTGACTCATTGGCAACAGGTGTATGTAACGTATGCTATAGTTTCTCCTTCCCATTCCCCCGAACCCTATCTGCCATAATTCTTTTTATTCAAACACTAAAGTATACAGACTTTAGATTCAGACAGGTCTGGAGTGTAAATTTTAAGACAGGAAGACCTGGAGACAAATCCAGGACCACAGAGACAGAGAAAATAATTTCTGAGTTCAGGTAGACCAGTTGTCTAGCCTGGCTTCACCACGTACAGGCAGACACTGTATCTTACTGTGCCTGGGTTTCCTCGTCTGTTCAGTGGAGATAATGTTATCAGCTTCATTCTGGGTTGTTTGAGCAGGAGCTGTGTCAGTGTGAGTTAGATGCTTGCCCTGGCAACTGACAAAATAGTAACAGCTGGACAACACTACCACTTGCCTTCAGGTTGATTTCGACTTAGAGGCCCCATGTCACAGTAGAACTGTGCTCCGTGGGGTTTTCAAAGGCTGATTTTTCAGAAGTAGATTGTCAGACCTTTCTCGGTGGACTTGAACCGCCAACCTTTTGATTAGTGGCTGAGTGTGTTAATCCTTTGCCCCATCCTCAAGTGGCAGATATTTCTGACACAACGAAACTCATTCTTCCACCTTCAGTTTCTCCCCACATATGCCCTGAGGAGGAGTCTCTGGTGGTGCAGTGCCTAAGGGCATTTGACTGCTAACCAGAAGGCTGGCGGTTCAAACCCACCAGCCACTCCTGGGAAGGAAGGTTGCGCAATCTACTTCTGTACCCAATCTACTTCTGTAGTGATACCGCCTTGGAAACCCAAGGAGGGGTCACTATGAGTCGGATCTGACCCTAAGGCAGTGAGTTTGGTTTTTTTTGGTTTGTGCCCTGAGGAACTCAGGTCTTTGAAGTGGGGTTAAGTGAGTGGTTAGGTGTTGGCTGGACAGAAACCTGGGGTTGGTTTACTGTGTCACCCTGGTGAGGCCCTGCCCCTCTTGGGGACCCTGTTGGTGGGTTGTTGGACTTTGTTCGCCAAGATTCTGAAGACTCAGCTCAGCTGAGAGGGGAAAGGGTAGGGAGGGGACTCTGGGAGGTTAATAGGGCAGGGGGCCGGGGAAGCCGCAGGCGCAGGCGTAATCTTGCGCCTGTCCTCCCTGGCCCTAGGCCAACTCGGCCAGCCCCCTCCCAGCAGGGGGCCTCTCTGTCCCCTAGACGTCCCCAGCCTAAGAAATAAACGACAGATAAAGTCAGGGAGCTGACAGAGCAACCCTGGGTGCGCCTCAGAGAGGAGCGAGGCACTGGGAACAGCATGGGCTGGCGCGCAGACAGGTAAACCCAGAGCAAGGAGGCACGTCCGAGCGTAACCCTCCCTGATCCAGGGAGCGCTGGAGGTTCGCCCTGGCCACACAGCCAGGCTTCTGTGAGCCAGGGCCCCGGGTGGCAGCGCCCCACGTGCTTGCCCCAGCCACCCCCTTCCCTTCCCCTGAACGCTGCTGCCCATGTCCGCAGGTCGAGCACCGAGCTACGCAAGGAGAAGTCCCGCGACGCGGCTCGCAGCCGGCGCAGTCAGGAGACTGAGGTGCTCTACCAGCTGGCGCACACGCTGCCCTTCGCGCGCGGGGTCAGCGCCCACCTGGATAAGGCCTCCATCATGCGCCTCACCATCAGCTACCTGCGTATGCACCGCCTCTGCGCCGCAGGTAAGCGGCGCGCTGGGAAGCGCAGAGTCCCAGGAAGGCCCCGCCCCCGGGCGCTCCCAGCGCGCCAAGGCCCCGCCCCTGGGAAAGCTGCATTCCAAGAAAGCCCCGCCCCCGGGAAGCCAGATCTGGACAAGGCCCCGCCTCCTGATGACGTCCTCCCGGCGCAGCCCTACCTTCGGTGGAATCCACTTTCCCGGCGAGACCCCGCCCCGCTCGAGTTCTGGGCCCGCTGGAGCCCAGTTCCCTGGGAAGCCCCACCTCTCTAGATGTCGATCATCTGCGAGGCCCCGCCCCCTTTGCTCTGCGCTCCTGGGCAGTTCCTCGTCCTTAGGATTTGGGACTACGAGACCCGAAAACCCTAAGGTCCCACAACCCCTGGTAGTTGGTGCCCTGAGAGACCTTCCTGATTAGGTCTCTTCATTTCAACGGCAAATTATCCAATAAGCAAAGTAAATATGCGCTTACTTGTGCTCATTTACATACTTTCAGATGCGTGAGTTAGCACAGGTAAACTCGTGCTTACTTCGTGCTTACCTGGCTTACTGGCAACTCCATCCCTGTCAGGGAGCTCTGGTGGCATAGAGCTTAAGGCATTTGACTGCTAACCAGAAGGCTGGCAGTTCAAACCCACCAGCCACTCCTCGGAAGGAAGATTGGGATTGTAAATTTCAAAAGTGATTCTGTAGGAAGGAGCTGTGGGGTTGGGAGAGAGACAGATACCAGCCATACCTAGAAGCAGAATGTGATGTGATGGAAAAATGTGAAATGGTTCCCTACAGATCAGTAAGTAAGCACAAGTGGTTACCTTGCTTATTGGGTAATCCAACACTGGTCCCAGATGTCACTGTCCATTCTTTCTTGCATGGGATAGCCTCTCTGTCCTCCTTCCTTCCCTTCTGTTGCCCTACTTCTGTTCCCTGTGTGTTCCCTTAGAAGTCACCTGTTTGGACGTCACCCAGCTGAAATTCCATTTTATAGGAGCCTTTGTTCCCCACCCCACCCCCAACAGACACACACACCTTAGGATCCCAGGATCCCAAAAGATTTTATCAGGGGGCAATTACAGACATCTCATTGCACTGTGACCCTTAGAATTCCCTGCCCCATAGAATTTTACTTCCCTAAGAGACTCTGGCCCTTTAGGATTTTGTCCCCTGAGAGTTCTTGCTTTAGAATTCTGACTCTCTCCTGGGGAGTCTCCCTGGGTGGCACAAATGGTTAAGTGCTTAGCTACTAGCCAAATCATTGACAAACCCACCCAGAGACATCTAGGGAGAAAGCCCTGCTGGTCTGGCGCTGAAAGGTCGCAGCTTGAAAACCCTGTGGTACACAGTTCTAGTCTGCAACCCATGGGGTTGCCATGAGTTGGAATCAACTCAAAGGGTACTGTTTTGTTTGCTTTTTATTTTTGATTTGGGAAAGACCCAGCCCTCCAAGAATTCTTACTACCACCATCACCACCCAGAGACCTGGCCCCTTACGGAGTTTTGACCCCTGAGAATTCCACTCCCTTAGCATTCTGTCCTCCTAAGAAGCCTACCCCCCCTTAGCATTCTATTGTTTTGGGAGACCCCATGCCCTTAGAATCCTGATGCTTTGGGAGACCCTCACCCCCTTAGAATTCTGTCTCCCTGGGAAGCACTGCTCTCAGAATTTCATTCCTTGGTGGCTCTGCCTACTTCCTTGGGACTCCAGGCCACTGGATGTGTCCTCAACTCACCTGGGGCACCTGTAACTTCCTCTGAGGGAGGTGAGCCAGTGTGGGCCCGGGGCTGACTAGAGCAATCCCCGGCCCCAGGGGAGTGGAACCAAGTAGGAGCAAGGGGAGAAGCACTGGATGCCTGCTACCTGCAGGCCCTGGAGGGCTTCGTGATGGTGCTCACAGCCGAGGGAGACATGGCTTACCTGTCGGAGAATGTCAGCAAACACCTGGGCCTCAGTCAGGTGAGAGGAGATGCCTGTGTGAGTGACATTGGGTTCCACGGGCGATCAGGAAGGACTGCCCTGGGCCTGCCTTCATGGGACTCACAGTTCAGAGGGAAGACAGCTGTGTCACCGGGCAGGGCTGTAGAAGCCCCGGGGTGGGGCGGGGAGGGGAGGCTGACCCACCTGGGGGAGATAGGCAGATAAGAGAGAAATTCCTGGAGGAAAAGCCAGGTGAAGGGGTGTGGGGAATGGGTGGACCCAGTGAAGGCTGGGAAATATACAAGGTAGAGGGAACAGAGCCTGGAAAGGCTCAGAGGTGAGATAAAACAAAGCATTTTGGTGCAGAGACCAAAGTTTGTTAGTTTATTACCAAGGGTGGGAGGAAGAGGTAAAGGGACAAGTCATTGTTTAAGAAGGGTTAGGTGTCTGTTGATGGTGGTGGGAAATTTGACAGCGGACATTGGTGGTGATTGTGTAACATGATGAATGCAATTGATGTCGCTAACTCATACATGTGAAAAATGTGAAATTTGCACATCTTGTGTTACAGATATTTGTACAACAATTAAAAAAAAAAAAAAAAAGCATTTAGGGGAAATAAAGAAGTTTGTCCTGGCTGGGTGCAGAACAAGGAGGCCTGGTGGTACAACAATTGAGCCTTCAGCTGCTAACCAAAAGGTTGGCGGTTCAAACCCATCCAGTAGGAGAAAGACTTGATGATCTATTCCCGTAAGATTGTTGTTATGTGCCGTCAAGTCAGATCCAACTCATAGCAACCCCTCCTTGGGTTTCTGAGGCAGTATCACTACAGACGTAGATTGCCCAACCTTCCTCTGAGGAGCAGCTGGTGGGTTTGAACCGCCAGCCTTCTGGTTAGCAGTCAAGTGCCTTAGGCACTATACTACCAGAGCTCCTCCATAAAGATTACAGCCTAGAAAACCCTATGAGGCAGTTCTAGTCTATCACATGGGGTTGCTATGACTCAGAATTGACTTGATGGCACCTAACCACCACAACAACAAGGTGAAGAATTCAAGGGGAGAAGTTGAGAGAGAAAAAGGCTAGGGAAGTCAGCTGGGGCCAGGTAATTCAGAGCCAAATTAGAAGGTTTATCTCCAGGGCACTGGTGAGCCATGGAAGGATTTGTAAGTAGGGGAGAGGTTGTGTCAGAGAGGTGGAATCTGATTTACATTTCAGAAAGATCCTTCTAGCTGCTGTGTGGAGATAGAAGTGGAGGGAGTAAGACCAGAGTCTGAGAGACCAGCAAAGAAGTGGACAGGGATTCAGGTGGGAGAAGATAGGTGGGGATAGATACCATGGAGTTGGAAGACTTCCAGCTCATCCTCACTGTCAGCCAGCCCTATAAGAGAATTATCATTCTTTTTTTGCATTTCATGTAAACAAGCTCTATCTTAGTTATCTGTTGTTGTTGTTGTTGTTGTTGTTGTTATGTGCTGGGCCCTGACTCATAGCAACCCCTCCTTGGGTTTCCGAGTATCACTATGGAAGTAGATTGCCCAACCTTCCTTCTGAGGAGTGGCTGGTGGGTTTGAACTGCCAGCCTTCTGGTTAGCAGTCAAGTGCCTTAGGCACTGCACCACCAGAGCTCCCATCTAGTGCTGCTATAACAGAAATACCACAAGGGGGTGGCTTTAAGAAACAAAAATGTATTCTCTCACAGTTTAGGAGGCTAGAAATCCAAATTCAGGGTGTTGGCTCCAGAGGAAGGCATTCTCTCTCTGTGGGCTCTGGAGGAATGTCCTCACCTCTTTTAGCTTCTGCTCCTGGGTGATCTTCATGTGACTTAGCATTTCTCTTCCCCCATCTCTGTTTCTCTTGCTTGTTTGTTTATTGTCTTTTAAAAGAGATTGACTTAAAATGCACCCTACATGAACCCTGCCTCATTAACATAACAAGGACAGCCCGTCCCCAAATGGGATTATAACCACAAACATAGAGATCAGGATTTATAACACCTGGTTTTTGGAGACAACTCAGTCCATATCAGGGTCCATATTTGGCATAGTTTCCCTGTCTCAGTACCCCACTCCTGGTACCAGTTTATTAGTTTCAGCTCTTGAGCTCATAAAGCTGAGTGCCTCAAGTACATAGTGCTCGGAAGTAGCAGAGCCAGGATTCAAATCCATATACAAGAGGTGCTGTCTGACGAGGGAAATATCATTCTTCCTCTTACTCACCATCACTGGTGCCGCCACCACCAGCACACCGTGAGCTGATGTGGGTCCCTTTCCTTTGTGTCCCCTGCTCCCAGATCCAGATTCCTTTTATGAATTGAAATGAGGAGTTGAGTCTCTGCTTAGCCAAAGAGACATGATTTGAATGGGGTCACCTCTCAGAGCCTTAGCATTTTCTGTTCCCTCTACCTGGATGGAGCAAAGCAATTTGCTCTCGGCTACTAACAGAAACGTTAGCAGTGCAAACCCACCCAGCAGTGCTGCAACAGAAAGCCCTGGTGACCTGTTTCAGTAAAGACTACAGCCAAGAAAACTCTATGGAGCTCAGTTCTACTGTGTGAGACGTGGGGGTGCCCTGAGTCAGAATCTACTCAACACAAGTGGGTTTGGTTTGTTTGGTTTTCTGCCTGGAGCATTCTCGCTGTAGAGAGCCACAGAGATACCTCCTAATTTGTTCAGCTCTCTGTTTAAATGTCACCTTCTCAAAGCAGGGCTTCGAACCAGTTCAAAATGGTTGCTGTCGTAAACAAGGGCCACATACACATTGCATAGCCACCAAATCTATTGCCCGTTGTATTTTGACCTGAGTAGGAAACAACAGATAGACCTCTGATGCTGCAGTGCCCAAGACGTTTGCCTACTAACCAGAAGGTTGGTGGTTCAAACCCACCAGCTGCTCCGCAGAAGGAAGATGGGGCAGTCTACTTCCAGAAAGATTTATCATCTTGGAAACCCAATGGGGGCAGCTATGAGTCTGGTAGCATAGTGGCTAAAGCACTTGACTG